CAGGTTCTGGCTGTTACAAATAGTGCTGCTATGAACATAGCTGAGCATGTATCTTTATGGTATGAATCAGCATTCCTTGGGTATATGCCCAAGAGTGGGATGGCTGGGTCTTGAGGTAGTTCGATTCCTAATTTTCTGAGAAACTGCCATACTGATTTCCACAGTGGTTTTACAAGTTTACGTTCCCACCAACAAGAACAGTGTCTCTTATCCCACGTGGCTCAGTTGGGACAGTGCTCACCTAGCTTGCCTGAAGCCCTGGGCTCAATCTAATCTGCCCATGAGTGATGCTGAAAACTGGTCATAGCAGTGAGTGTCTATAATTCCTGCACTCCTGAGGAATAGAGGCTAGAGGATCAGAAGTTCAAGGTCATCTGCAGCTGTAGCATGAACTTGAATCCAGCCTGGGTTACATGAAACTTTCTCAGGAAGAAAATAAAGGGAGTGGGGGAGGTTAAGGAAGGATGGAGGGAGAGAATGGAGGGCCTTCAGAGTTGTTAATGGCCAGTCATTCACTGCTGTTGAGTCCATTGAGGGCTGTGGAGGGAACACAAACCCTGGCAGGACCAGGGAATCCAGCCTGGAGGCTTCCCAGGTTACACCTGTCCCTGAAACTGGCAGAGGCCAGTTTGTGCCTCCTGTCCCTGACCTGCAGGGCAACACCCCGGCTCCTGCTGCTGCTGATCCTTCTTAGGGCCCCAGACCAACCGGGCAGGCCTATTGGTGCTCTCTGTCTTTCCTGCAACGTTCTCACCGGCTCTGGAAAGCTCCCCTCCGCCAGCTTACTGTTCTCCATGCTGTCCGACTCACTCAAGACAGTCATCTGTTCTGAAGGCTCCATCTACCCCTGGGGGAAACCCAGAGGTTAAGCTCCCCTCTGAGAACAGAACGGTGTGACTCGGGCAGAAGGCACATGCTTTCCTTATAACCTCAATATTTCATCCTTCCAGCCCCAGCTCACAGCCATGCCTCTCTCTGTTCTGAACCTTAGAAACATCTTTGAACCACCTGCTGAATTCTTCTTGTTTAAGTTCCTGTTACCAGCTTACTTGCTACCTGCCTGTTTTTTTTGTTTTTTTGTTTGTTTTGTTTTGTTTTGTTTTGTTTTGTTTTGTTTGGTCAATGCCCAAAGGTATCTAAAGCCCAGAGCCGGGGTCTTAGCCTTGGCTGCAAATTTAAATAAAGGGGAGAATGTGATCGAATTGGTCTCGAGCGAGTCCGGGTGTGAGCATTTTTAACAGCTCCTCAATTTATTTTAGCATGGGAACTGTCTCCCAAAATCCCATCAAAGTTTTGCCTCGAACACCAAAGGCTTTAAGCAAAGAGTAAAAATTGGAAATGTAATATCAAACAAGAGTGGAGAGGGTAATGTATTCCCAACCTCTCACAACTATCTGCAAATATTAACTTCTGAATGGACAATTTTGCAAATAGGGGTTGCAAATAAGCTTTTTCAGGGTTCACCTTCTAGATCTGAAAGTCATTTGAATTCCCACAAGGTCATTGTTATCTATTAAGATTAAATTTAAATGGAAATGGGGATGGGGGCAGGTACCTGCTGCTCTTCCAGAGGCCCCAAGTCCTGTTTCCAGCTCCCATGTTGGGTAACTTCTGTCTGTTACTCTGGCTTCAGGGACCAGTTGCTCTTTTTCTGACTTTTTTCAGAAAAGAAAAAGTCTCTCTCTCTCTCTCTCTCTCTCTCTCTCTCTCTCTCTCTCTCTCTCTCTCTCTGTGTGTGGGGG